CCATGATCCCCTATTGCCCGGGGGCCTCATGAGTTGTCAGTCCGCCCCTGGTCCTAGCTAGACCCTTCCCGATTCTCCATGTTCCACCAGTCATAGTCATTGTTCTCGAACATTTCGAAAGACTGGATGTTTATGAGCACCCCGGGCAAGAACCAGCATTCCAGCCACGCCGTTCAGGGGAAGCCCCACCATTTCAAGGGTTGGGTTCTTTTTTCCTTTTCTCGGAGTTCGGCTTTTGAACGATAAACATTTGAACAAAGTAGATTTTTCCAAGTTGATAATCTGATGGCTTGTTGACATTTTCTGCGCGATGATCCCTGAACCCAAGTAGAGAACAGGTCAGGGCAGTTCTGAGAGTACTTGTTGGAAGTGACACCTCTTCGGGAGAGAACACGCGTGACCCATAACAGGAACTTTACCTACAGAAAGGGGAAGACGGGAGGAAAAAACTGTTTATTTTTGCTAATTTTTGCTTTTTTTCTTGTCCTTTTATTAGTAGAATACTCGTGAATGAACCCTGAGGAAGAGCTCGCACCCGGGGTGTGAGGTATCTACTGGATTTTAGTAGGTACAGCAGCTCAGTTGGGGATCTTCTGCTAAATAAGCCGCCGGCCAGTTCTGCAAGTGAGGAATGTGGAATTTTCCAAACCAGTTAATTGCCGACATTTTCACGCCGTCCTGGGAAATTCTGTGCGCACAAATCTGGTGCCGCGCGGTAAATGAGACAATATAGAACGGTACGACGTGTGCTGAGGCTATTCGAAGATTGCCGGCCAATGGCTGCTGAGGCCGCTGTGCCCAACTGGCCCAGATCTGAACCGGCTCTGAAAAATGTCTCCACACTGTCCACCCACAAGGCATAGTCCCTTCCTGGCCAGAGGACACCAGATCACGGAGACGAGTCCGCAGGGTGAGGCAATGATCCATCACCCCATTCCAAATGGCTGAACCCGGCGCGGGTCCTATGAATCTAAAGTTCTGAATTAGATAGGGCTCCTCCCCTTAAGTCTTGCACTGATGTATCGGCTCCTCCCCTTCAGTCTTGCACAGGTGTACCGGCTCCTCCCCTTCAGGCTTGCACTGGTATACTGGCTCCTCCCCTTCAGTCTTGCACAGGTGTACCGGCTCCTCCCCTTCAGGCTTGCACAGGTATACCGGCTCCTCCCCTTCAGTCTTGCACAGGTGTCCCGGCCCCTCCCCTTCAGTCTTGCACAGGTGTACCAGCTCCTCCCCTTCAGGCTTGCACTGGTGTAGAGGCTCCTCCTCTTCAGTTTTGCACAGGTGTATTGGCTCCTCCCCTTCAGTCTTGCATAGGTGTCCCGACTCCTCCCCTTCAGTCTTGCATAGGTGTCCCGACTCCTCCCCTTCAGTCCTGCACAGGTGTACAGGCTCCTCCCCATCAGCCTTGCATGGGTGTAGTGGCTCCTCCCCTTCAGTCTTGCATAGGTGTATGACTCCTCCCCTTCAGTCCTGCACAGGTGTACAGGCTCCTCCCCTACAGTCTTGCATGGGTGTAGTGGCTCCTCCCCTGGACTGAAGCAGCTTCCTCTGAAGGCTCCTCCCCTTTAGTCTTGCATGGGTGTAGTGGCTCCTCCCCTGGACTGAAGCGGCTTACTCTGATGTCACTGCACACTGGGAGCTTCTCACAATGTGCATTAGCAGCTGCAGCCAGTCATAGAGAGCTCCGCCTCCTTTCCTGGCTGGAGGATGTCCACCCTGGCTATCCCTGGCCCCTCCTGCTCATAGGGGCATTACATAAGATGGTCTGCATCAGGGGCGGATTGGCCATATGGGACTCGGGCACTGCCCGAGGGCCCAGGGTCAGTAGGGGGCCCCATGAGATGCCCCTGGTACCTTTCATAGGCTTTCTTGGGTATGGTTTGAGTGTGGGCGAGGACACAGGGGCCCCATGATCCCCTATTGCCCAGGGGCCCCATGAGTTGTCAGTCCGCCCCTGCTCTGCATGCAAATCCAGCCTGCCTGGGAACACCCACTCCTCCAGACTGACACCTCCCATCAAGGAATTGTGATATTTGCATAACTCCTCCCACCGCTTGCATTAGGACTGAGGGCTCTTGAGAGGAGTATTTGAGGCGGGGTGCTGTGATGTTTTCAGGACACTATGTACAGCACCCTATCAGCCCCGCCCACCAGCCATGACCTGCCTGCATTGCATAGAGAAGCATAGAGACCCAGTGATGACATCACTGGGTCTAAAACAAGGCGTGTCATGAAGATGGAAAGGTTTCATTAGCATGTTAATGAGAGGGGAGGGGAAACCAGGAAGATGATTTCCGGAGACTCCGCCTATGCTGACTGTTATCAGGCACATTGTCCCCGCCTCTCTGTGGACTCCGACATACCCACTTACGCCCCATTCACACCTCAGCGATTTGCAGCTGGAAGCTCCAAAACGCTGGAGGAAAAAAAAACGAAAAAATCAATTATTCTCAACGGAGATGATTCTCCTCTCCACCCCAAGTGGCCTGAAGCCCGACACCCGAAGCCCAAAGTTCTGCAGCGTTTGTATCCCTCAAATCGGACAAACTTACACATTTTATTTCCATAGAAATGGATGGAAACGCGCGAATAAATAATGTTTAACCCCTAACCTTAACTCTGAAAAATATATATAAAAGAAATTATGAATATTAATAATAATATTGAAAATAATAATACAAAAGTAATGATAAAACACCCAAACCCGACCAAAATAATACTAAGAATAATTTTATTTATTTTGTGTTAGTGTGTATATTATATATATAAGGTTATATATTATATTTAAGTATTATTATTATTATTATTATTGCTAATACTGTTATTATAATAATAATAATAATAATAATAATGTATTTATTTTGTGTTAGGGTGTATATTATATATATAAGGTTATATATTATATTTAAGTATTATTATTATTGCTAATACTGTTATTATAATAATAATAATAATAATGTATTTATTTTGTGTTAAGGTTAAGGTATTTATTAATAATAATAATAATAGTTATTAATATTTTTTAATTTATTTAACAATTTTTAAGGGTTAGAGGGTTAATTATTATTTATTTATTATTATATATTATTCATTAATTTTATTTAATTTATGAATATTTTTATTTATTTGTGTATTTATTTTATTTATTTTACATATATTTACATTATTATTATAAATAATAATAATGTATTTATTTATTTTGTGTTACGGTTAGGGTGTTTTATTTATAATAATAATAATAATAAATATTATTATTATTATTCATTTATTTAACAATTTTTAGGGGGTTAATTATTATTTATTTATCATTATATATTATTCATTTATTTTATTTATTTATGAATATTTTTACTTATTTGTGCATTTATTTACAAGTTTATTATATTATTATTATTATTATTATTTATAATAATAATAATAATAATAATAATTTTATTTTTGTGTTAGGGTTAGGGTGTTTATTTATAATAATTATTACTATTATTTGTTTATTTAACAATTTTTAAGGGTTAGGGGGTTAATTATTATTTATTTATTCATTATATATTATTCATTTATTTATGAATATTTTTATTTATTTGTGTATTTATTTTACAAGTTTTTTATTATTATTAATAATAATAATAAATAATTTATTTATTTTGTGTTAGGGTGTTTATTTATAATAATACTTATTACTATTATTTATTTATTTAACAATTTTAAGGGTTAGGGAGTTAATTATTATTTATTTATCACAATATATATATTATTCATTTATTTTATTTATTTATGAATATTTTTATTTATTTTTGTGTATTTATTTTAAAAGTATTTATATTATTAATTATATTATTATATTTTATTATTATGATCTATTAATTATTTATTTTATTTATTTTTTTGGCTATTTATTTATTTATTTATTTGTGTATTTGTTTTACATTTATTTATTAATTTATTATTATTGTTGTCACCCCCAAATTAATAATTATAACAAAATAAATAAAAGCTGATGGAGAAGGTAAAAAAAAAAGCTGAAAATCCCAGCAACCAATGATGCAACAGGTGATATTTTTTCTCTATTGGCCAATCCTGTATGAAAACACACATAAACCCTCCCCCGCGCGTTCCGTAGGTCCGTTTGTCATTTCCCCATTTACGGATGAACAATGGCGCCCCCCGTGTATTTCTGTGGACCAGCGGATGTACATGGAGAACCGTCTGTTTACATCCAATAATGTCCGTTTTTTTTTTTTGAACAGAAGAAAAACTTATTTTTCTTCCTTAAAAAAAAAGATGTAAACGGATAAAAACGGACATAAACTGACGTGAATTGATCGGTTTTTTTCCTCAGAAAGTGTGACTCCAGTCTCAGAGGAGAGGTGGCGGTTTTCTGTGGCGCTGTCCTGGGGGTGACAACACTGCTCCCCATAGACAGTGCAGTGACTCAGCATTGTCACCTTAGGACAGGAAGTTGGTTAGTGGCGGGATCACCAGGTGAAGATTTCATCTGACATGTGACTCAAAAAACGCACCAAAACGCATTTTTTTTTGCCATGTTTTCAATTTTATTTAAATGTGATTTTGATGCGCTAGATGATGCTAGATGTCCACCAGCCAGGAAAGGAGGCGGGCTCTAATGAATGAAAGGGGTGGGGCCAGTTAGTCTGGGGAGGAAAGTGCTAGATGGTGCTGGATGTCCTCCAGCCAAGAAAGGAGGCGGGTTCTAATGAATGAAAGGGGCGGGGCCAGAGACAGTCAGTCTGCGGAGGAAAGTGCTAGATGGTGCTGGATGTCTACCAGCAAGGAGAGGAGGCAGGGTCTAATGAATAAAAAGGGTGGAGCCAGTTAGTCTGGGTAGGAAAGAGCTAGATGATAATGGATGTCTTCCAGCCAGGAAAGAAGGCGGGTTCTAAATGAATGAAAGGGGCGGGGCAAGGGACAGTCAGTCTGGGGAGGAAAGTGCTAGATGATGCTGGATGTCTTCTTGCCAAAACAGGAGGCGGGGTCTAATGAATAAAAAGGGTGGGGTCAGGGACCAGTCAGTCTGGGGAGGAAAGCATTAGATGATGCCGGGTGTCCTCCAGCCAGGAAATGAGGCGGAGCTCTATCTGACTGGCTGCAGCTTCTAATGCACATTGTGAGAAGTTCCCAGTGTGCAGTGACATCAGAGGAAGCCATTCCAGTACAGGGGAGAAGCCAGTACACCTGTGCAAGACTGGAGGGGAGGAGCCAGTACACCTGTGCAAGACTGAAGGGGAGGAGCCGGTATGCCTGTGCAAGACTGAAGGGGAGGAGCCTGTACACCTGTGCAAGACTGGAGGGGAGGAGCCGCTACACCTGTGCAAGACTGAAGGGGAGGAGTCGGTACACCTGTGCAAGACTGGAGGGGAGGAGCAGGTACACCTTTGCAAGACTGAAGGGGAGGAGCCGGTACGCCTGTGCAAGACTGAAGGGGAGGAGCCTGTACACCTGTGCAAGACTGGAGGGGAGGAGCCGCTACACCTGTGCAAGACTGAAGGGGAGGAGTCGGTACACCTGTGCAAGACTGGAGGGGAGGAGCCGGTACACCTGTGCAAGACTGAAGGGGAGGAGCCGGTACACCTGTGCAAGACTGGAGGGGACAAGCCGATACACCTGTGCAAGACTGAAGGGGAGGAGCCGGTACACCTGTGCATGACTGGAGGGGAGGAGCCGGTACACCTGTGCAAGACTGGAGGGGAGGAGCCGCTACACCTGTGCAAGACTGAAGGGGAGGAGCCGGTACAGCTGTGCAAGACTGAAGGGGAGGAGCCGGTACACCTGTGTAAGACTGGAGGGGAGGAGCCGGTACACCTGTGTAAGACTGGAGGGGAGGAGCCGGTACACCTGTGTAAGACTGGAGGGGAGGAGCTGGTACAAGGGGGCACTAGAGGTCAGAGGCTCCCAGTCACATGGATACAATGTATCATTTCATCCTTTCCTGGAATTCAGATTATTTACAGGAAATTCTATAATGGATACAAAAATCTACAGAACGATCGATCGGCCGGGACTCACTGCGCTCCGCGGCTCCGGCTGGGAATCTCCGGGACTCACCGCGTTCCGCGGCTCCGGCTGGGGATCTCCGGGAGTGAAAAGTCGTCCTGATGTGCCATCGATCGGCATAAACAAGGAGGTGTCAGTGACGGCCTTTCCCAGGATGCACCGCTCACATTCCTCCAGGAGCGACTAATCGCTGGCACCGCGCCAAACGCCCGCCACCCGGGGAGATCGCACTGCAGCTCGGCCATGGAAGTCACACGGCGATCGTCCTGGAGAAGCGCAGACGGGACTTTCATTAATCGACTTTATTTGTATATTTGTAAATACATTTCCTTTTACTTAACCTCTTCCTGTCCACAAAGCACCCGAGTGCTGCCAGGAGAGATCGTTCTACTGAGCCGCTTCCATCGATCGAGGACTCCGGTCCTGACATGTCACTCCGGGCTCCCCCACCTGGGGGATTTCAGGAACTCAGCACAGGGATGGTGGGAACCCCTCATAATGGGCACAGTGGGTGTACAGACCCGGGAACTCGGCACAGGGATGGTGGGAACCCCTCATAATGGGCACAGCGGGCGTACAGACCCGGGAACTCGGCACAGGGATGGTGGGAACCCCTCATAATGGGCACAGCGGGCGTACAGACCCGGGAACTCAGCACAGGGATGGTGGGAACCCCTCATAATGGGCACAGCGGGCGTACAGACCCGGGAACTCAGCACAGGGATGGTGGGAACCCCTCATAATGGGCACAGCAGGGGTACAGACCCGGGAACTCGGCACAGGGATGGTGGGAACCCCTCATAAAGGGCACAGCGGGTGTACAGATTGTGAATGGGGGGGAGGGGGAGCTAAAATATTCCAGCCACATGATACTCTATGAATAACTTCGCCCCTGGCCTCGGGCCCCAGACAGAGCGGACAGCAGGGGGCGCTCCTAGTACCAGAGTACTGCTGGGCTCACCAACACTTCCCTGGGAGAGCGGCTCCATCTAGTGACAGGTCAGAGTAACGCATTACACACCATTGAAAAATGACTAGGAAAAAAAAGGTTTCAGGGATCGTCTTGTGAAAAGAAAGTTTGGAATTTGAATTTAAAACATTTTTTTAAAAGCTGAATTCCAGTCCTACAAAAAAAAAAAAAAAAAAATAAGTAGCTGAATGCTAGGAAAAAATACAAAACAAAAAAAAAAAATAATAACAAAAAAAAAATAAGTAGCTGAATTCTAGGGAAAATAAATAAAATAAATAAATAAATATATATATATATATATATATATATATATAAAATAACAAAAAAAAATAAGTAGCTGAATGCTAGGAAAAAAAAAATAATAATACCAAAAAAAAAATAAGTATCTGAATGCTAGGAAAAAAATATATATACGGTGTATATATATAATAATAATAATAACAAAAAAAATAAGTAGCTGAATGCTAGGAAAAAAAAAAAAAAAAAATAATAAAAAAAAAAAAATAAGTATCTGAATACTAGGAAAAAAATACAAAAAAAATATATATATATAATAATAATAATAATAATAATAATAATAACAAAAAAAAAATAATTAGCTGAATTCTAGGGAAAAAAAAAATAAAATAAATAAAATATATATATATATATATATATATATATAAATAAAAATAACAAAAAAAATAAGTAGCTGAATGCTAGGAAAAAAAAAATAATAATACCAAAAAAAAATAAGTATCTGAATGCTAGGAAAAAAAAAATATATACGGTGTATATATATAATAATAATAATAATAAACAAAAAAAAATAAGTAGCTGAATGCTAGGAAAAAAAAAAAAAAAAAAAAAATAATAACAAAAAAAAATAAGTATCTGAATACTAGGAAAAAATACAAAAAAATATATATATAATAATAATAATAATAATAACAAAAAAAATAATTAGCTGAATGCTAGGAAAAAAAAACAAGAAACAAATAAAAAAATAAATAATAATAAAAAAAAAATAAGTAGCTCAATGCTAGGAATAAAAAAACATAAAAAATAAATAAATAAATAAAAATCTAAAAAAAATAAAAAACAGCTTTTACTGTGATACTCAGCTTCAATCTAAAGCTGCCCCCCCCTGCAGTACTGCTGTTCTGCCAGTCGAGGTCCTCATTCTTCCTGGTCGAAGGTTGGCCGGTGTCATTCAACCCACTTCCCAGATTCAGAGGATGTTTCACCGAGTGATCTCCTAAATGGTATGTAGAGTGCGTTTAGGTCAGTCGTTGAAGGGCGACTAAAAGCAAAACTTTTTTTTGGATTGAGTGGCCATTTTTATTGCTGTCTGTGTCCCCGTTAAGGAGATTTCTCCTCGTATTCGTCCATTATTATTGAAAGTGATAATAAATGCCACATTTTGGGTTGTCCCCAGAAAAGCAATGGGGGGGGGGGGGGGGGGGGGGGGGGGAGGGTTAATCCCACATGGAAGTAAAATATATTTTAAATATATTTAAAAATATATTTTTCCCAAATATATTGACATATATTTGAAATACTACAATTTTGGCCGTATTCAATATATTTCAAAAATATATGTATATATAGATATCTATACACACACTGTATGCTGAAATGCGTTTTTTATATTTTAAAAAATGTAATTAAAAATATATGTTAAATTTACTTTCTTATACGTTAAAAAATTTAAAAAAAGAAAATATTTAAAAAACATATATATGCTTAAATATAGATCTTTAACAATTATATTTAAATTAAAATTTTTTTTAGAATACATGTGAAAATATATCAGCGTCGACCAATATATTATAAATGTATATCACATATGTAATTTTTTTTTTTCTAAATATATTGCAAATATATTTCTCTTCCATGCGGGATATTCTAATGGGGACGCATGTTCTGGTGACCTGGGGGGTCCCCAAGGGATTCTCTTCCTGTGTAGGGATCTCCTCTCACTTCCTGTTTTGGCTATGGGACAGGAAGTGAAGGGAAATCTTTGCAATGAGACACGGATGGTAAAAAAAAAAAAAAAAAAAATCTGACAGGGCTTATAACCCATATGGAAGAAAAATATTCTTCCCAAGTATATTGACATATATTTGAAATACTACACATTTGGCCATATTCAATATATTCCAAAATATATTTCAATAAATGTATATATATATATATATATATATATATATACACTGTATGTTGAAATGCATATTTATTACAGAATATATGAAAAATATTTAAAAGAATACATTTCAAATATACTCTTTAAAAATACAAATTTACATTTTTGGAATACATTTACAAATATATGTAAAAAATATGTTAAAATGACTTATTTTTTATATGTTAAAAAGAAATCTGAAGAATATATTTAAAAAAATAGATTTTTTTTTTTTTAAAAAATAGATATTTTTAAAAATAGATTTTTTTAAAATATAGTCTACAGATTTTTTTTAACATATAAAAAAGAAGTCATTTTTAACATATATTTTTACATTTGTAAATGTATTCCAAAAATGTAAATTTGTATTTTTAAAGAGTATATTTGAAATGTATTTTTTAAAAATATGATATATTTTGTAAGAAATATACATTTCAACATACAGTATCTGTGTGTGTGTTTATATATATATAAAATTTGTAAATGCATTCCAAAAATGTAGATTTGTATTTTTAAAGACATACAGTGTAGTTGAAAATGTATTTTTTAAAATATTTTTCATATATATTTTGTATAATAATATTACATTTTATATATTTATTGAATGCGGCCAAAATTGTAGTATTTCATATATATGTCAATATATTTGGGAAGAATATTTGAAAAATATATTTCAAATAATTTTTTTCTTCCGTGTGGGAGGGCTGAATCTTCATTTCTTTTTACGTTCTCATGAATATTTTGTGTCTTTTTTAATTTCACATTAACTTCCTGTGACATGTTCCGATGATATCTGTAATTAGAAGCGTTCTGCTGACTTTGATGTATGAAAGACTGCGAGTGGAAAACTCATTTAGCGTCGTCTGGAAGAGATCGTTTCATGAAGAAGAGGACGCGGATCGCGGGGGCGCCGGGCGGTCACATGTGCCGCGCAAATAATAGAAATGGGAGGAATTTCCATACTGATTAGTGTGCGGGCCGGAGATAAGATGTAATAATACCAGAATAAAGCGTCATACAGACTCTCTGTGGAAATGGTCCATGTATGGTCCGCGTATGTTCCCTGTATGATCCGTGTATGATCTGAGTATGATACGTGTATGATCTGCATGATCTGAGAATGATCCAAGTATGATCTGAGTATGATCCGCGTATGTTCCCTGTATGATCCGTGTATGATCTGAGTATGATCCGTGTATGATCTGAGTATGATCCGTGTTATATGATCTGCATATGATCCAAGTATGGTCTGAGTATGATCCGTGTATGATCCGTGTATGTTCCCTGTATGATCCGTGTATGGTCCGTGTATGATCCGAGTATGATCCGTGTATGTTCCCTGTATGATCCGTTGTATGATCTGAGTATGATCCGTGTATGATCTGCATATGATCCCGTGTATGATCCAAGTATGATCTGAGTATGATCCGTGTATGTTCCCTGTATGATCCGTGTATGATCCGAGTATGATCTGTGTATGATCCGCATATGATCCACGATCTGCCGTTATGATTCGCGTATGATCCGAGTATGATCCATGTATGATCCGAGTATGTTCCTGTATGATCTGTGTATGATCCAAGTATGATCCGTGTATGATCTGCGTATGATCCACATATGATCCGCATATGATCCGTGTGTGTTCCCTGTATGATCCATGTATGATACATGTATGATCTGCATATGATCCGTGTACGATCCAAGTATGATCCGTGTATGATCCGAATATGATCCGTGTATGTTCCTTATAT